ACAGCCCAGCTGCTCGTATTTGTCCAGGGGATAACGGACTTCAAGCTCACAGAGGAGCTGGCAGCAATGCGGTCGATGAAAGGGACAACGACAGGGAGTGATCTTTTTACAGAGGTAAATGTGTGCACGGACACTCTGGGATTGAAATGGGAGAGACTGTCAGGTGTCACAACAGACGGTTGTCCAAATCTTACAGGGAAAAAATGTCGGACTTTTGAAACGCATGCAAGATAAAGTGACAGAAATCGATGCAGATCAAAAATAGGTGTTTTTGCATTGAATTATACACCAACATGTGTTGTGCAAGTCAGTGCTAAAAATCAACCATGATACTAATGTTGTTACTAAAATAATAAACTTCATCAGGGCGCGGGCAATGAATCACAGACAGTTTGTCGCTCTTTTGGAGGACTCCACACAGCTGTCAGATGGCTCAGCCTGGGGAAAGTGCTGAAGAGGGTTTGGGACTTGAAAGCAGAGATTCAGGATCTCTGCTGGATTTCTACTCTTCTCTTAAGGAGGACTTTCCAAACCTGAGGAGACATGCTCAGAAGATGTTGGTTTTCTTCGGCTCTACCTACATTTGTGAACAAACATTTTCAATGATGAAGTTTACAAAATCCAGGTATAGATCCTCTCACTGATGATCATTTGTCAGCTGTGCTTCGCTTCTCCACCTCAGACATTCAACCTGACTTTGATGCACTCGCTAAAGCCCAGCAGAGACTAGATTTCTCTCACTGAATAAGAAAAAAATTGCTTAAAAACACAAAATAAGGTGTTTGGACCACAAATGTAGGCAACTAGCAGTGAACTGGGACACTTTTTTTCAAACCTCTTTCTCAAGATCACAGTTCAGTGATTTTATTTTACAGACAATACTGTGTGTCTGTAGAATGCTAAGAACCTCTTTCCAAAAATATTTGAAACTCAGAATGTGTTTTGGAGTGAATGTGACTGAAACTGTTAACTAATATAAGTTACAAATGTTTAACAAAAACCAAATGCGCACTTTGTTTACCATTGCCTTGGGAAATTTGAATAAATCACATTTTTGTAAGCCAACCTCACTTTTTCCTTTTTGCTCATTTATAACATATAGTCTACTCTTACCAGCTTGAAAAAACGATGGTATTTACTGCTTTTTATAAAGAAATACCATTAATATTATGCATAATTGACTTCAGCCTTTTGGCCTGGCCCTCCACAATATTTTCTATTTCTCATGTGGCCCCATGGAAAAAATAATTGCCCACCCCTGGTCCATGTTATTTTTACAGGTACATTTTTAAACATAATGTCTCATACTTCTGATTATTTGGTGCTCCCATGGGAGCAGATTTCCAGAGACGTTCAGCACACGAACCCCCATTAGTGTGATTGGTAGTTCGTCCAGAAACTGAATGAAAACTAGACTGTACCCATACCATATTCTGTGTGAAACAAGCTTTAGAGAGAGTTACTAGTACTTGCTGGGTTTAGCTGACAGGAGTTACAATGTTGATGTCTTTCAAAAAGACAACACATGACCATTCATTCACTTTGAGTGGCGGATTCTCAGCCAGTTTCCTCAGTCATCCCCACTCTGACGCTAACGTAATGATGGGTGATGTTATTCCCATCTGCTTATTTCCTTCTATCACTCTTCTGTGGCCTGTTGAGGTGAAGGCAGCTCTGACCGAGACAGAGAGACTCAACAGGCTAGTTATAAAAGTTAGCTTAGTTCTGGATTGTCAACCACACTCAACAAAAATATAAACGCAACACTTTTGTTTCTGCTCCGATTTTTCATGAGATGGACTTAAAGATCTAAAATTCATTCCAGATACACAATTTTACCATTTCTCTCAAACATTGTTCACAAATCAGTCTAAATGTGTGATAGTGAGCTGTGCTTTCTTAACAAAATAATCTTTGTTTTTGAGTGAATCTGTAATACCACAGGTAAACTAGTAGTAGCACATTCTATGTTAAAAAAGTTAAATGTTATTATCAGGAGAGGGAGAATATCAAGTGGTTAGCAGTAGTGTGCCCGATGATGACCCCCTCCAGGAGGCCACCACAGCTCAGCAGCCAGTGTAGCTTCTTCTGGGGAGAAAAACACAGAGAAAACATAAAGTTAACAGCTAAAATACCAATAAATAATGCTATTGGAGAGTAGTTGCAGAAGAAAGTAGTAGAGTGTGGAAAGTGGTCAGTAGGTCCTCCAGCAGTCTAAGCCTATAGCAGCATAACTACAGAGATGCTCAGTATAACCTAGCCATTCGTTTTTCTCAATTGTTTACACACATTTCCTGGTACTTGAGACACAAAGACCACAACATGTAACCAATTCACCAACCCCCTTAACCAATTCTGCTAAACTACAAGCACAAATCCTGCTTTGAACTCAAATTGCAAATCTAAAACACACTTTTTTTCAAAACACTACACACAATTCTCTGCTGTTGGCTCAATTTTCATGCAGAAAATATCTTGTTTTCACAAGGAAGACACTGCCATTCAAATATGCACACTGACTCATCACAAGGGCAAACACCCATCACACAGTTTCACAATCAGCAGTCAGAGCTTTGGTGTAAAAGGGCAACAGGTGAGCTCTTCTGTTTTGGAGCAATGGATGCCAACATTGGAAACGGAGGCAGAGCCAGAGGAGTGAGAGTAAGGGAACATCACAATGTGTGCAGCGCTTGGCTACCATGGCATCATCCATCACCATGCTACCCTTGGCCCCTACAACTCCGCTCATCTGATCACATTCCTGGACACCCTACACAACACACTCATTCCACCAGATCAGGTAGATGGCCCAGAACAGCCGAGGTACGTTGTCATTTGGGACAACGTAAGTTTCCACAGGGTTGCTGTGGTTCCTAACTGGTTCACCAGTGGCGTGTCTAGATCTATTAAAATGGGGTGGCCCAGGTGAGGCACAACTTTGTGCATGGGTGGGACCAATGGCTATGCTTTTGTTTTACCCTCAAGCCTTTTGTGCACAATGAAAAGCCTATTTAAAGGTAAATTAGTGTGGTGGCACCTGGGGTGGCCAATCAGATTCCAAGGGTGGCATGTGCTACCCCAGGCCACTCCCTGGACACGCCCCTGTGGTTCACTGGCCACCCACGCTTTTTAGTTGTTTATCTCCCTCCATATTCTCCATTCCTCAATCCCATCGAGGAATTTTTTTCTGCATGGAGATGGAAGGTGTATGACCGACAGCCACAAACCCGTATACCTCTTCTCCAAGCTATGGAGGACGCATGTGGAGATATAGCAGCTGATTCTTTTCATGGCTAGAATCGCCATGCTAGGAGATATTTCCCCCGCTGCTTGGCCAGGGACAACATTGCTTGTGATGTGGATGAGGCGCTGTGGCCAGACCGCAACAGAAGAGAGGATGCAGCATAGTTTTTATTGCTTTTTACTGTAACTGTATACAGTAAAATCTTCTGTTGTATGTAGTGTATGTGTGCAACTTTGTTGGTTGGGAATGGGATATACATTGTGTACAATGTTTTGTGGGAAAAATAACAATTTTTACGATGTATTTGTGTGTTCAGAGTGTAAAAACAATATTCTGAAATATTTTACAATACATGCATGCATATACTGTCTGTAGTGACTAACACTGAACCAAAAAGGCTTAAGGCTGAGAATATGAGGGATGCTTTCAGAAAATGTGTGTAAACAATTGAGAAAAACTGTAAGATGCAGGCAGAGGTGGACTGGCAATCTCTGAGTTCTGGAGACTCCCCAGATGACAAGCTCTAGGGCCGGTGGGTGTGGTTCTGGACAGCATTGAGTTTGCAAGCACTCCCCTCCATTAATGCATGATGAGGGATCAGCTGGCCGGACATATTACGGGAGAACAGTCTTTATCGACTGTATTACCTGCTGTACACTCTTCTATACTTGTCCAAGGAACGAGGATGTAATGTATGTCAAAGGTTGTATATGGAACAAGGAGACTGGCGAATCCTGGTGTTCAGAGGTGGTATTGCAACAACAGGACTAATTTTCCAGCCTTCGGGATGTTGGTTCACTGCTGACTAATTCCAGCACCATGTTCAGAGAGAAATCGTACAGGATAAGGACTAATTTCTACTAATAAGTTTATTTTACAACAGTATTCACTGTTAGAACATCTTCTGGGCTCAGAATCGGCTGCTTGATTGGTCAAGGCTGCCATTTTACAGTCCCAGCCTCGCCTTGGTGAGTGGACTTTAGCGCAATGGTGCCCTCTAGTGGCTGGTAGATGTAAACATAAACAGTGTCATGCCTGGCAAAATCAAATTTAGATTTTTTTAAATAAAGCATTTAAAGGAAGAACTGTACATCCATTCTGTACCTCTGAACGCCACGTGGAGGCTTATTTAAAAATTAAATATGGTGTTTTATTAAAATGCCCCATATTCCAACTTAAATGAGATATTAAAAGTCAAAATGTTCCCAAAGGACAGGTTAGTGAAAAGGTTTGTAGTTAGCTGGTTAGTGAAGGCGATCCTTAAACTGATAATATCATCAGAAAGAATAAAATAAACATCTCAAAGACATTGGATCTCAAGACAAGACATTTCTTCTCAATGGTGCTAAGGTGCAGCACCGGACAGTCCGCCCCCAGCACCCTCTGGGACTAATGATATTTTAGTCTGAAAGACACCAAATAGTAGAAAGTACAAACCAATGTTCTGGACTTAGGAAGCTGCATTGGTCCTGAGATGGAAGTCCCCACCCTCTCACCTGCTGATCACTGGTACCATCATCTGTAATGGTGGTAGCAGATGTAGGAGAGGATCCCTCTTCCCAGCAACACGCTCCAGCTCCTCCTGGAGAACGAGACTATGCAGGATCCCTCCGAGATGCTCTGATCTCCTCCCAGTGTCCAGGAAACCTCCAGGAGGAAGGCTGGTCAGACTCCTGAAGGTGCTCCTCCTTCCCAACGCCCAGACAGGTGCAGGTATTCAGTGGGACAACCCACACAGACACGATCTGCCTTCTGGTCACTTTTCATAACATCTTTATTGAATTTGTGTCTCAGGTTTAAACATATTTACAGATACTTTCATTTTACTTTCAGTAAAAATACAGAACACTCCGTTTTCAAAAGCCACAGCATGGCCGCCCAGGCCTCCTTACAGGTGACGAAGACATGGAGAGATTAAGGACCGAACGTGAACTAAATCCTGTTGAAGACTAATACTGAAACGTTTTCTGCTGCTTCACTCATTTTGTGTTTATGAGCTGAAGAGGAAACATCTGAATAGGTAACGATCAAAAGCTAAAATTAGCAGCTTAAGAGCAGCAGGTGTGTGTGTTTGTGACGGCAGTAGAAGCTGCTAGAGACTGACCTCCATCGCACCATGTGGCACTGCTAACTGGTCCCTTTAGCCAGTTTGGGTTTGGGGACTAATGAAGAGTCTCTGTTAAACCAGGATTCAGTCTCCTAAATGTCTTTCAGGGGTCCATCAGGAGACAGAGCACACACACACGCACTCACGCACGCACACACACACACACACAGCTGGAGCAACAGCAAATGCTTGTTTTTATTTCCTCGTGTTTAAATTAGTTTTCTGTTCTGAAACATTTGTGACAAAAAGAGGCAGAAACATTTCTTCATCGCCTCAGGAGACTCATCAGAACCCAACCTGACTCTGAATGTTGGATTATCATGACTCCAACGACCAGGAACGGAGAGCAGGTTACATGATGGCTTCATTTATTCACCTCCTTCGGTGCGACGCCCCCTACTGTCCACCTGTAACAAAGTGCACAAACTACAGACTCACAGCAGAACCACCACAAACACAAACATTCAGCTTTTCTCACCGCAAAAAAAAAACAAAAAAAAAAACGCTAAATAAGGAGAAGAAGTGAGAGGCTGAAGGGAAACGGCGCCATGTCTGATGAGAAGGCAGCTTCCTAACACGTAGCAGCAGAATGGTTTCACTGGTGGGGGAACTGGGAAATGTGGGGGAGTTGGCCTGCTGCTGTCCATGATTAGATCCTTTTCCTCGTGTGATTATTCTGAAAAATGAGGCTCAGAGGACGCTGAGGGTCCTTCGCCATCCAACAGGTCTGGCTCCGACTGAAGGAGAGTAAACAGAAGGTGGAGAAGCGGAGGGCTGGGACTCAACCCTGTGTCCCCAATAACAAGTTGTCCAAATCAAAAGTCAACAGACACTGACGGCCACTGGTCCGTGTGTCTGTGTGGAAACAGAACCTTCATCAGCGTTTAGTCCCACTGAACTCCTTCATGAACTCGGATCAAAAGAGAAAATAAGAAAAGCCTAAATCCAGCCTCTGGTTTGGAGGCCGTTAAAGCCGAACACACCCACCATCCTTTTTCACCCGTCCAGAAGTTCAGCACAGCAGAAGACGGGGGGAGCCGAGGCGTCTCACCTCCTCCAGACCAGGACTGCTGCCCTAACGCAGAGAAAGAGCCTGAATGGAAGTGTGTCCGGTGATGGTGGGTGGGCAGGCAGGCAGAAAGGTGATGGCCCCTGGTGCTGAGGAGGAGGACGGGTCCGTCTACCGCTGAGCGGGCTCGCTGCCAGGCAGGGTGATGTTTCCCAGGTGGAGGACGGGGAGAGGATGGGCCTCTGTGTTGAACACCCAGCTGTCCAGTGGCATGAGGTCATCACTGGAGAACAGTAGGTAGAGGTACCTGAGGGTGGGAGTGGTAAAGGACGGAATTAGTCTACAGAGCAGCAAGTAAAAACCACCTGATTGATCTTTTTATCCGTCAACCCTGATGAACCTAGACTGTTCAATTCAGAATAGATTTTAAGATCCTCCTCCTCACATATAAAGCTCTTAATAATCCAGCTCCATCACACATCAATGACCTGATTGTTCCATATGTTCCTAACTCTGTTATGGAACATAGGAGGGCAGGAGCACAGATAGTGTGGGGACGGGGGGGGGGGGGGGGGGGGGGGGGGGGGGGGGAATCTGTCCCCCCAGATTCAGATTCCCCCCCCCCCCCCCCCCCCCCCCCCCCCAAACTAAGGCCAGAAAGAAAACAAGATCGGAGGTTAAGCGCTTGAAGCTCCTTTTTCCAATTACATTGAATGCAGCATGACGTAAACAAACACCAACTCCAGAGGTGCCAAAGTGGTTGCTGCTAGGATGCAGGATGAAGCGAAAAAGGCAAGCAACGATTACTGCATATTTTAAAAAGACCAACAGTGTAAGTAGGCGGGACCGATCTGTCTGTCTATGCATGTTGGTTCTAGATTCAGTACGTTGTTGTCAGTGTTGGGACTTACTCGTTATAAGCGCCAAAGCCTCATTGCTGACTTTAACAAGTCTCATCTACAAATATGATCCCTCATGAAGTTACTACTTTACAGCAGAAGATAGTAGAGATGTGTAACCTTCAGGCTGGGCAAAGTTTGGGAGTTTTTAGAGCTTGAAAAATGCCTCCCGCTGAGAGGCTCCCAGTCGGGGAGAGGAGGAGATGTGCGCAGCGTGAAGAGCTCAAATATTAGATAAAACGTATAATTGTCGGCAGGTTTGGTCTTTGTTGACTGATCAATTTGTCTGGTAATGACTGACTCTGATTATGAAGCAGATTATTGACTCTGATGAAGAAATTCACTCATCCAGCCGGGACAATTGACGCTGCTGCAGCATCAGACAGCTGGTGCTGCACGAGAGGTGTGTGGAGCTTACAAGCTCCAAACGTTGGGTTTGATGTTGGTTTAAACCTTCTTTGGGACGTGATGGATGTAGAAATGATGGTAAAAACCCTGCTATTGTGACAGACGTAGCGACAATGTAAAAAAAAAAAAAAGCCGTAAAAAAGGGCAGATGCCGATGTGTTATGTATGGAAGTCAAAGTGTGCCACATAATCATACAAAAAAGTAAAATATTAAAATTAAAAAGAGATTTATATATTTATATATAAATTAAAACTTTCCAAATATAATGAAAATTTCTAAATAACGTAAAAATACGAAGGAACATCTGTTGGTCAGGCTGAAAAGTTTGGGAACCACTGCTCTAAGTGATAAGTGAATATTGTTTTTAAATATATTTTATGAGCAGTTTTTTAGGGCTTTTATGTTTTCTGTAAAGATTGGTATGCTGAAAATCATTTAATGTTTTGCATAAAGCATGAGGTTTTGGTTAGTAATTGATTGGGAGAATAACAAATGACTGAATTAAATAGTGGCAGGGCAGCTGTGGCTACATCGTAGCTCATCCCCATCAGTGTGTGAATGAGTGTGTGAATGGATGAATGATACACTGTAGTGTAAAGCGCTTTGGAGTCCTTACTCTGAGAGGCGCTATACAAGTGTGGATCATTTATCATTTATAGTGTTGATCAGGCAGAGCTTTGTTGCCAGTGTACCTCTGCATAATGGCTTCAAACATGTGTATAATAGTTAGTTTTTACGTAAACCATTGGATGAAATTACACAAACTGACTGAGCTCTTGTTAAGGCGCTTGCAATAGTTTGTGTATGTGTACGTGTGTGTGAATGTGCATTCCACATTCAGCGATGCTGCAAAAATACGTTTTTTTCCAAAGAAAAAGTTTCAGCCGTCCAGATCTGTAGATGAAGGGATGGGTTTTTATTTGGGCCCGGTGTGAATTAGAGTTTGACATGCATGCTGTAAAGGGTCATTTTAGCAGAAAACGATTTAAAAATACAATAAAGTATCCCTTTAAGACTAGGCTTTAAACAGTTTTATTTGACAGAGGTTGTGGTTAAAATCTGAGTGATGTTAGCCCAGGTGTGGATGAGTGGGGGAGTAGAAGGAAGTGGAGTGTACGGCTCTCCCTGGCCCTGCCTCCAACATGCCTCCATCTAAAAGGCTAGGTTATCCAGAGTTATCTCTGCAGTTATGCTGCTATAGGCTTAGACTGACATTAGGACTACTTCTCATTACTGTCCTATTTTCTGCTTTATTAGCCATTCTCAGACAGCATGCTTGCATGTTTCATACCATTTATATGCAGACGACTGCCACATCTATTTTTTGCTTAAGCCCACCGACTACTCTGTTTGATCGTCTTCATGATATCAAGGAATGGCTGGCTGAAGACTTCCCGCAACAAACAGGTCGTTGTTTTTAGTCCTGACAAAGTTAGAGCGACCCGGCAACCTGACCTCCAATCTCTCTCCCCTCATGTAATCTCTACCATTTCCAACCTTGGAGTAAAAATGGACCTGGTCCTGAAGATGGACGCTCAGGTCAATAGCACAGTCAGGTCCTGCTTCTACCACCTTAGGCAAATTTATAAATGAAAGCCACCCTGATTGTTCATCTTCTGGAATCTGTGATCCACACCTTCATTACATCCTGGCTAGATGATTCCAACTCCTGCATGTATGGTATTAGTAAAGCTGCTCTGTCCAGGATCCAGCTAGTCAGAACCAGAAGGTTTTATTAACATATGCAGTGTTCCCCTTACATAGGCGTAGCTGTGGCGGCCTGCCATGGCTGAAATCCCACCGCCACGCCTACAAGATCCCAAGTTTTATTGATTTTTTATTTTTTGTGCCATTTCCCGAAGAAGCAGCGGGAACTACTGTGTTGTTGCTTGTGTTCACAGCCGGCAGGCAGCAAGGAGGAGGAGGCAGGGCAGGGTGGTTACAGCTAGGGATGAGCGTACGGATAAAGCATTTTTGACGAACACGAGCATGAAACGAGTGTAAAACTCGTAAATAACTGTAATCGTGCTGAAGGGAAATCCTCATTGGGTAACTGACTGTCTTCACGCTCTGTGATTGGCCAGTCACATAGAGCGCCCGCCCCTCCCTACACACAAAACTCTGCAGCCGGGACGGGAGCTCAGTCCGCTCGGCCCAGGCATCCACGCACACACACAGACAGTAACGGATCTCTCTGTGATTGCTTCACTGTTGCTCACGTTTCTTCAGTGCTCCCTAGGTTTTCTTCAGCTCGCCTCTTTTTCGGTTGAATATTTAAAGTTACTTTTTTCGTAACGTATGTGGTGCATTTGACAAGACAGAGCTGAAAACGGCTCGTGCTGTGTCGGTCGGGTTTATTTTAAATCTCTCTCTCTCTCTCTCTCTCTCTCTCTCTCTCTCTCTCTCTCTCTCTCTCTCTCTCTCTCTCTCTCTCTCTCTCTCTCTCTCCCTCCCTCCCTCTCTCCTCCCTCCCTCCCTCCCTCCCTCCCTCCCTCCCTCCCTCCCTCCCTCCCTCTCCCTCTCCCTCTCCCTCTCCCTCCTCACCTCCTCAATCAACATTGTTTTGTTTAACTTTGTGTGGGGAAATATGCCAACAACGTTAGGAAAAAATCAGTTTAATCAAATTAACAAAAAAAAAGTTGTGTCTGGTTCTAGTATTTCATATGTCCTAGTGCCTACTGCATGAGTTCAGATGCATTAATTCATGCACTTAAATAATAATGTTCTGATTTTACTGAAAAACTTGTTCTGTAATAGTTCCTTTACTATTGTGATCAAAAATATTTAATCTCAATTCTGAGGCTGCTCTGTAAATAGTTTTCAAATAAACAATACACATAGCAACTTCTGATCATTCCATATCAATTTCAGATTTAAAATAATGTATTGATGTAAACCACACCCACTAATTTCCAAATAATAATTAAGAGGTGCATTCATCTGTGTATCTCCTTTGATCTGCATTAGTGATATTTTCAGCACCAGAACAATGAAGCAAAGAAACAGATTCCTGAGTTTATGTTAGTAATTTTATTTATTAGGTGCATCTGACCTGTTCTATTTTTCCCTGAAATGAGATCAAATCAGTGCTTCTATGGGTTGTCTCCTCTCTGCACTAGAAAAATGTACTTTATTATAATGTTCACTGTAATGCATCTTGAAGTTCTTAACAAATAAATTAAATCAAGGATATTGGTCATTAATTTCAAATATGTAAATTTGTGTTTCAGTCATTTTTATACTGGCTTAAAAATACTTCATTAAGTCTACTAAGCAGGGGCGTAGAACGTGTTTAATAGGGCCAGCCCAGTAATGATCTTGGACGAAAATAAACGGGCAGAAAGGGGGGCAAAAGGAGATGTTTTTCCAGACGCCAAGAAAAATTAAATACCAAATCCCCCCTGCAAAGTGTGTCACTGAGAGTTTAAAACAGAAATTATTCTTGTGCAAATATTGGTGTATTCACCTTTAATACTAGTTATTTAAATGCAGCAGTTGCTGGATTGGTGCAGTTCAAAGTGGAGTGCGTCAAATAAAACAATATTAACATAAAGGTGAGGTTGTGTTCAGCATCTCAGGTTAGATTTAGACTTTCTTCTGTAAAAATCGGCAGCCAATCAGCATGCAGAGACCGGAAAGCTTTGATGAGATTGGCTGAAAACCAGCAGGAGCTACAGAGGAACATGAAGGCTGTGCAACACACGAGGACTGAAATGTCATCGTGTGAGTTGACATTTACTCTGGAGGGGTGTTTGATGGTGTGGGCGGGCATTGATCGTCTGCTTTACTGAGCCGTCAATCAGCTGGACTGACGGAGACAACAGTCAACACTGAAGTAGATCCAGTTACACAGAGGACATGTCCAGAGGAGACAAGTGTCAGCCAGCAGAGGGAGCCAGAGCGCCATGTGACCACACCGAGTATTAACAATCACATCAGTTCCACCAGTTTGGTTCAATTCCGATTTTCTCCAACAACTTACTTGAGGGTTTCAGCCAGAAAAAAGCTCTGCTGCACGTCGTCGTAGGTGGGGGTGGACGAGTACACATCCTTCACTCCTGAGAAACCTCCACTCACCCGGCAATACCTATCGATGGCCTAAAGAGGACAAGGACAGAGGGAGGAAGGTTTAAAAAAGGACAACACAAGAGAACACACTAAGGACAGAAGGAGGACAAATGTCCACATGGGACAATACAGGCGAGTAATCATCGCAGAAGGAGGAAGGGATGGGTGAAGGGAACCCGTGGGGGAGGAAAGGACATTTTAATGAGCTCATAAAAGCACGCCGTAATTAATTTGTTTGCTTGTGGCAGATTAGAGGCGGGTCCCAGAGAGACAGCCGGAGAGCATCTTTCCAGCATCTACCTTGTTTCTTTTTTACACATAATGAGGGAGGCACACTCGCTCTTTAAATGTGTGTGTGTGTGTGTGTGTGTAGCCTGTGGCAACATCAGTCTCTAGAAGTCTTCACTAGCTCACACTCCCACTCAACACAAACTAATGACATAATAATCAAAAGCACATTCACTCGGGCGTATGTCACATCTGAGCTCCTATAGATTATTTTACCTAAATAGAAACAGGTGAGGCTGCCTGCTGGTGCTCAGAATGCGTGATGTTATGGACTCTTTGCTACAAACAACTTTTATCACATTACCTGTAAGGCCCTGGAAGACACTTAACCTCGCCTTGGTGCAGGCATCGTTGTTCACTGCTCAGCTACACTTCATTTGTCCGAAACGTTTAGTCACAATCAACATGTGCTACGAGACACCGAACTACAAAATACTCCCACAAACGTGGGCCATCAATTACAAACAAGATTTGTTCATTTTCACACACAAAAAGTGATTTCCCAACAAATCCATTCAAGCTCTTGTTGATCACACGTGATTATGCGTTGCATTCTGGGATGTGCACAGACATTTTGATGGCCTAATGAGTGTAAACGGTGAAAACAGACAGTACGTCGCAGAGAAGAAGCAGATTTGGGAGAAAAGAAGTGTTAAACAATATGTTAAAATCCCAAACAGCACGTGGAATACACAGGGACATGTTAAATAAAGAGGTTGGGGCCGGTACGTGAACAGAATCAGCATTATAAACGGTTTGGATCCACGTCAAAGACCCAAGACCGGAGCACAGATGACAACTTGTTGCCGCCGCAGTTCAGCAAAACAGACATTTTCGGCTATCTTGTTTGTTGTGTGGGTGAATGTGAACGCAAACGATGAGAAGTAAATGCTTTATTAGCTGGTTTTTCTAGACAAACGATAAAAATCGTCATCCCATAGAAGAAGTGTAGCAGGAGAAGCTGTGCTGTGTGTCAGTGCGCCCGTATTAGCCTGCCGGTATGTGTGTGTAGCCTCTGTGTGTGTGTTGTGTCTCGGTTGAAGGAAAGAAATGATGTACAAAAACGTACACCATCTGTAACTTACCAGAATGAAAATACTCCGGAAGGTGAAGTTTGGCCGCCTTACAGCTGCGATCCAAGCGAGCAGATGAGACTTTGTTATGCTAGATACTCATGGCTGTGCCTCCAAGCAGGAAACCGGTAAAGAATTTGCCCACTTTCCACCTTTATTTCCCTGGTGATCACGAGTGTCACCTCACAGCACAGCAACGATGTACAATGGTTGTGTAGTAACCGATCAAATGAATAATAGATTTATTTCAGCTGTAGAGACTGAGCGTGCTGTTGTCAGTAGAAACGAGGACTTGTAGGCCACCAACAGGGCTGCCACGTCGGTGATGACAACAACAAGCCGTACAGAAGAGTTCACTAACTGATTAATCTAGAGATCACAACAGAAGAAAAGACAGCAGAGGTATCGTACATGGTGTAAAAGACCTTTGAACCAGAGACGGAGTCGCTTTGTAAACTCCACCTACTGGTCACTCGTATATTGCAGCGTTTGGACGCGTCGAGCTAATTTCAGGAGATGTACACAATGCTTCAAATCAATGCAGACATTTTAAACACGCATTCGCGTTGTTAAACCGCAATTATGTGTCGGCCCTAAAACCGATGAGAGTTGAAGCCATGATCATTGTGATCGACTGATTACATGTGGGGGCCATCTTGAATTAAGTTGACTCTAAGTTGTTGTTTCATCAAACAAAGACTAAGATAGTTTAATCGACCCAGTGGTTCATATCATATATTAATAAATTCAATAAACACTCATAAACCAGCACCACGCACCACACTACTAATGCTTAGGATTCAACATGAGAATATTTTAATGAGTTTATCATGTGAACATGAATCCTGTCTGAGCCTGGTGGATGGTGAATGAAAGCAGCGTCTCACAGCCTCACCTCTAGTGACCTCTCGGCTGTCAGCAGGTTTCACTGCAGAGGCTTTAAATCACACTTCATGTCATTTATGAGGCCAGCATGAGTCTGCTCTTCTAGATTCACCTAGTCTCTGCGTGTGTGCGTGCGTGCGTGCGTGCGAGCGAGCGAGAGAGCGAGAGAGAGAGAGAGAGAGAGAGAGAGCGAGAGAGAGAGAGAGAGAGAGAGAGAGAGAGAGAGAGAGAGAGAAGAGAGAGAGAGAGAGAGAGAGAGCGCACCCTTGAGGCATCATCCAGAGAGGTCTCTGAAACATGAGTGGGCAGGACTAAAGGTGCAATCAATAAGAACATTTGAAGGGAGCCTTAAAGTAAAATAATGGTTGTTTTATCATCAGTAGACAACAAATACTTCAGGTGTAATGACTAGAATTTCATATATCTGGCATTAAGGGGTTAAATGACTGTTTCAAGATTTAAAGCCATTATTCTGTAGATAGGTATTTTAGTTACAGGTACAGATATAAAAGATTAAGGAAGGCCTGAGTTCAATTAACACACAGCAGTTTTCTGCTCCTCCACCCTACTGGTTGAAAGTGGAATTACTGCTACTGTAAACAACCCTGCAGCAGCCTGCTGTAGCTAGCGCTACCAACGACCCAACACACAGTTTTACTAAATAAACCACAAATCATAAAGATCCACAATGTTGGGCAAACAATATTATTACTTACAAAGCCAGGTCACCATCAGCGCATGATCTCAAAGTCTATTTCAGCTTTTTCAAACTATAGTAAGCCACGCCAATGTTTGCTTCGGTTTTAGCTCTTCGCTTCACCTCTCTTAGTTTCACTTCCAGGCTCCGCCATGAGGCCAACAGAAAAGCAAACTTCTTCTTCTGCTTTTTATTGACGATGAGCAAACTGAAAAAGCTAACTGCACAGAAAATAGCTAACAGCTGTAATGCAGGTATAAGAGGGCCCATAGAACACCCACCCACTTCACAAAACTGTTAAATACAGTAGCTGGCCAGCAGAGGGATACAGGGTGGTACCAAATATGAAACTCGTCAAGTTTCTAACTCAACAATGAGATCAATGTTAAAGCGCTAGCCTAAAGTAAAAAAAATATATATTTTTGTGTTACTTTAAAACAGTGAACTCTAGTGAATATAGCAGACAGGAGCTGTTTCAATTTATATTCTCCCATTGGGTGACATTTTACGAAAGTTTGGAATTGGATTCCATCTCTATGCCGACGACTGCCAATTGTACTTGCCTCTAGATGGCGCCGGTGATCACACGATAAAAATTTTTTTTGTATTGTCTGGCAGAAATGAAGATATGGTTGGCAGAAAACTTCCTGTGTCTCAATGGGAAAAAACAGAGGCACTGTTGTTTGGTCCGAGCGGACATGTTGATTTTTCAAACACAGACTGCGGTGAACTGGACTCCTATTTGGGTGTTTCAGCCGTCAACCTTGGCATGAAGATGGACAGTGCATTCTGCATGGATGCTCATGTGGGTACTGTATAGGGCTGCACGATATTAGGAAAATCTGCGATATTCGATAACAGTGCTTAATATTGCGATATCGATATTACTCACGATAAATGAACAAATACTAAAGTATGCAGTGTTGATGTCGTCTGGCGTGTGACGTCTGCTCTGGGCTCAAAGCAAACAAAAACTAATGCATGAATTCTATTACAACATAACATTTTTATTGCAAAATTATGCAGCTGCACCTGCTACTGTATTAGCAGCAAAACAACAAACTGCATGCATGCAGTTTCTCAGTGACTTTAAAACATCACCACCACCATAAAACTTTTTCTGATGCTCCGAATACAGAAAAACATCCCTTACCAGGGTTTTTGAATAAATAAAAAAAATCAGAAAATAAGTTTAAATGATAAATAATAGTTAACATCACTTAAATGCAACAGCAAATTCTCTCATTGCTACTGAACATTTTCTCCACTTATGTGGTTATGATATAAGGCTGTTGCTGTAATTGGGAAGTGATCTGTGCCGGGCCAAACTAGGAGAATATTAAGATTTTCTGAGGGAAAGAGAAAAACAATTGTCTACCTTTCAGAAGAGGAGCTGGCAAAAAAAAAACAAAAAAAAAAACTACATGGAAAATATGTGAAAACGTTTGTTTTAACCCCAAATTGAACAAGTTTACCTAGATCTTAAAAAGCAGCTCAGATGATGAAACTGCAACTATGATTCTGATAACAAGCTAACAAATTGAACTAGCTCTTCTTAAGATAACTGGCTAGCAGAGCTTCTGACTGACAGTTTATGTGCAGCAGCAAATCAACTATCCTGATTAACAAGGATATAAAAGCTCATAAATGAAAAATCACTTTGATGTGTGGGGGAACTTTTCCAGGCCCTCTTTAGCAGGGTGGGACTGGGAGGAGAGTGCTGTAGCCTTTTAGCTGGAAGCTAACCGAAGCCTGGGGCTAACGTCACCACCCGGTGGAACACTAGCGACATGGAGGTAGGTGGGTTGGTTCACCGGCACGTGTCGGAGTCAGCCCGGTTATTATCAGCTGCTTAACAGCACAGAGCGGACTCACATTCACATTTGAAAGCAGCGCTGATTCCAGAAACCTCAGCACAAAGTGTGTTCGTTAATCTGAGCCAGCATGACGAACAAGGGAAGCGAGCGGCAGCGGAAAACGGGGGCGGAACGGAGATAGTGGAATTTTTGGGTAAGGGTCTATATAGGGGGCGGGTGTATTACGTGAACAGACCCATCTGATTGGCCGCATATCAGAAGGGCTACATT